AAACGATGATTTAAGAAAAGTTTTTTTTGGCGGTTAGAAAATCTTGACAAATTAAAGTGAAATAGAAATGTATATTAAAGCTATTTCTAAAAGAATACAGGATAAAGTTATACTTTTAAAATAAAATATAAATGAAACTAACTGCCTAAAATCATTTTCATTCATAACTTCTCCTTTTTAAGTTTGAATTATCACATCATTTTCAATAAGCATGAAATTTGTAAAAATAATTTTCTTTTAATTTTTCATCATCGAAAGAAAATTCGGTAAAAGACACAATAGACTGTTACAGTAGTAAGGTATTTTACTGTGTTATATTTTAATTTTAATAAGGGAAAAAAAGAAAAAGGTACATTTATTTGTATGAATTTTATTGCCTTATACAAAAAGTTAGTTGTATATACAATAATGTACCATCCATTTTCTCTTACTTTGATGTTTCTATTATTTCTTTTTTTACGTTTACGTATGTTTACTTATCCATTTCCGTATTCCATGTTTTTTGGTAATGTTTATCCATAATGTAAGTAACATATCTGGAATTTTTGCTGAAAATGTTTAAGAATAAGGAAGAATTCTTGTGTTGTTACCATCTTCTTCTTTCTTGTTCTCTTTTTTTTTTTTAAAAAAAAAAAAGAAATGAGAGAAATTGAGAAAAAGACAAAATTATTTTCAATTTTTAACGCAAAAAAAAAAAAGAAAAAAAAGGATGAACGATATGATATGGGAAAGAAAAGGGAAAAAAATTACAGGAATATTTCAAAGATTACACAAAGTTAATAAACCATAATTGATGGAATACTTTATTGATATTACTGTAAATAAACAGATGAAAAATGGGTAGAAGAAGAAGAAGAAGAAGAAACCAAGCTAAATTAATTAAAATAATTAGTTCCAGATATGATTAGGATTTGATAACATTTTTTTCAATCAATATCTATTATGGATAATTCATGTTGTTGCGAAATTTATAATAAAATTTCGATTAAATTTATCAAAATCTAATGAATTATGCAAAATAAACAGACAAACAGGATATATGTAAGTTGATGGAAGGGCAGAGCAATAAAATACAACTTGAAAGACGACAATATGATAGAAAAGTTTGAAATTGATCAGCTTCCTTCAATTTTCACGAAAGGAATGATTGCCTTTAAAAAGTGTTTCAAATTATAAGAGCTTAAATCGATTATTTACGATGATAAAACAGCTCCAATCCTTTAATTATGATGATAAAAGTACATGTAATTAATAAGATCAATTCAAATATTTGCATATTCGTCTTAAAAGAATGCTTGAATTTATGATAAAGCTTTCTGCCATTGTTTATTTTTTGTAAAACTTACACAGACGCATTAGAGTACATTTTCGTCTTCTTAAGCATTATAGAAGATAATTTGATGAGAATAGGGCAAGACGTAAATGACGTATATATAACGTTAGCAAAATGTTGATTTTTTTTTTTTTGCTCAAAATGATACAATCCAAACTATTTTCGAATGAATTCGGCTTACTCATGTCAATAACAAATGGAATTAACGTTAATGTATTTCTAATCAATAAAATCAACAATTAAAATCTCAAACAACTGATAAGATGAAATGATTAGACACTGTGACAGTCATGATGAAGACATGAGCGAATTTTAGGCTTATAATAGACGTAAGTCCAGATTGCTAACAATGCTGTAAGTGAAACCGGTATAGCAATCACACCAGCACTTACCATTCCCGCCTGTAATGTTAATACTGCTCCACCGATAGCTGCTGATGCAGCTGATCCAAGACCCATACCTATTTAAAAAAAAAAAAAATCAAAATTTAAAAATAATTTTTAGCAGATGGATAATATGCAGAAAAACACTGAGAAATAATCATTTGTTTGATTTTTTCTTTTAATGAATTTAAAAAAAAAAAGAAAAAAATTGAAAGATAATACCAAAAAATACGGAGTCACCACATGCGATCATACGCGATACACAAGTTGTCACACGCTTTTCTTTATTTAATCGTTTATATTTCTCCAATTCACTCTGCAATAGTATGGATATAATGCAAAATTTATGGTTGAATTTTAGAAAATAATATTTCAAACGATAGAAACTTCAAGTTGAAATTAATAATTTCAATGTGCTGTGTTTGAAATTTATTAATTTTTTTATTTCTTTTTAAACAATCAATACATTTAAATTTTGTTGTAGTGTTGAGAGATTTCTTGATCGAACTTCGCTGCTTCCCATTTTTGGGTACTTTTCAAAGATATTCAATGCTATAATACCATATTTGATGTGCGCTTCATGGAGTCGTTTTTCCGGTAGCATTCCTGATTTCATACAAATCTGGAATATTTCCAATTATTTTAGAAATAAAAAAGCATCCCTTTAAATTTGAACAAGTTTTTATAGCTATTATTTAGTTGTAGTATATATGAAATTTACATTAAATGACGAAACAAATGACAATTACATGACGAAGTTCATTTTTGAATAATTTAAATATTCCAATATAAAATTATTGTTACAGTAAATTATTTGAAATTTTACATAAAATTTAAGAATTAGGACTATTACCCGATCCATTCCTCGGATATATGCTATTTTTGCTTCATTTGCTGCTTCCAAATATATCAACTGAGCATTTGTATCTAAAATCATCTGTGGTTCCGGTATCATGCAACTGTCGAATGTTTTAGCAAATTCCTGAAAATTTTCCATCATTTTCCAAATATTACTTCATTCTATTTTATTCCATTTCTGTTTTTTCTTCCTTTTTTTTTTACGTAAATGTAACTTTATATTTTTCCGTATAAAATCGAAATTTTACAAGAAAAAAAAGAAAGAGGAAAAGAAAAATTGAAAGGAAAACAAAACCCTGAACACGTCCGTGATTTTCCTGCACGTAACCGTTTTTCCGTTTACGATTTTCGGTTGCAATGCTTGTGGATTCAAAAGATGTGCGGTCATTTTTTTCACTTCCTCTTTAAATAACGGCTTTATATCTAGAAATACTTATTTTTTAATTATTTTAATTTGCATCCTTTTTTCTTCAAAATTTTGTCGTTTTTTTTTCTTTTTTTTTTGTAAAGTGATTAATTCCGAACGTTTTAATTAATTCAATTTATTTACAAAATGAAACGGTAAAACCTTTTACAAGTCCTTTAAAGGATTGATGATCTGCAACTCGATGACCAGGATGTGGTAATAAAAAACATAGCATTTGTTCAAAACAATTCTGAATTTCTTTTCGAACAGCTCTCAATTCATTGGACTGAAAAACAGTTCAAAAAAAACAAAAGAAAAAGTGTTAAATTACTCAATTGTACAATTTACTTCTCAAATGAAAATTCCTTTTCTCTTTAAGTTCGAAAT